CACATGTTTTCGATGGTCTTAGGAATTGAGACACCGCTCCTCTATCCATCTCCAGGCCCACATGCAGATACGCCCACCTACGAGTGCCCAACGACCCCTATGAAAGGGTCGTTCGACCCCCAAAGGGGTTGCGACCCACAGGTTGAGAACCGCTGCAATAGAGCATAACAAATTATACACACACACACACACACACACACACACACACACATGGTGCCAAAAATATGTATACACATTTTAAGAAAGGAAAAAACTGTATTAAAATTGTAATACTCAATATACACCAATAACAAAAGATGAATACAAGTCACGTTTGACTTCTGCAATTACAAGAGGTGCTCAAAATGGTTCCCATCAGCATAATTTTAATAGTTTTTTCCTTTCTTACAATGTGTATACATTTTTTTGGCACCATGTGTGTGTGTGTGTGTGTGTGTGTAATATATATATATACACATTATATATATATATTATATGTATAATATACATATATATAAAATTTACAATAGCATGCAAACTATCAGCTGTCTAGGAATACATCTAACAAAAGATGTGCAAGGCCTCTAAGGGAAAATTAGGAAACTATACCACAAGAAGTTAAAGATATCCTAATGAAGAGAGATACCATGTTCATGGAAGACAAAATACTTCTACCCTCTATGGGGCAATAGAGAGCTCAGCTGTAACAGCCAGAAGATCAGAGCAGCCCAGGTTCACATTCCAGCTCTTGTTGCTTCTAAAATGTGTGACTCTGGGCATTCCACCCACCCCTCTCGACCTCAGTTTCCTCACCTGTAAAACAGGGATAGCCATTCTGTCTAGTTATTAGGAGTCAATGGATAGGAAAGCCCTTTGCAGAGTGCTATATAAACATACGGATTCTTATGACGAGCATTATTGCCCCTTTTTGGTCTGAAGGTGGGGGAAGTTTTCTCTCCCAGATGAGGCCAGCTGTGTCCTTGCTTCTGCTCATCAATTTGTCATCAGGGGCAGCACCGGGTGCTTATTCTGTGGGTAACTCACAACAACCTACAAGGCAGGTGCTAGGTTAGCCCCATTTTACAGATGAAAAAGCTGAGGCTCAATCAAGCAACTTGTCATTCCTAGAGTCCTTTATGTATTCGGCATGCATGAGCTCCTTCTAAGTGCTAGGAGCCGTGAATATCCTGGTGACTAAGATGCACATGGTCCCTGCTCTATCACAGCTAAGAATCTAGTTGGGAAGATAGTCAAAAATCATACCACAACTAACAAGCTGGCAGAGCCAGATTCAAACTCAGGTCTGTGGGACACTAGAGTCCATGCTTTTAAGAATTCCCTGGCAGTGCCTTCCTCAAGCGCCTCTGCTCCATTCTCTCTGCCGTGATGTAATGATTTCTAACATCCATTCTGCTGACAGCATCACATTTCAATGGGCCTGGCTAGCCAAGCTGCTTCACAAATGGAGAGCTGTCAGCTTCGATCCTGGCCCATGTGATCCTCGTGCATTATCACTGGAGAATTACAACAGGGAAGATGAATGCATAAAAGAGAGGCATCCTGGACTCCCCTCCCACAGCATCAGTGGCATTGTTCCCAGTGAGTCCTCTGCTACCATTAATGGCAGAAGTGAGTCACTTATAAATCAGATGTGGGAGCTTTATTATAATTGCCTCCCGCAATTCAGAAATTCTCAGCGTCACTGTGAAAGGGAGGGCAGCAGGTGACCAGGGCTTCAATGGTCTTCTGCCAGGTACACCTTTCAGATAAAACGTCTTGGATCAGGAGCAATTACAGCTAATGCCCGTACTGAATGCTAATGAGAATTACTTACAATTGCAAGTAATTCTCTGCCATTTATACCATCTGCTTCCCCCCGCCCCCTTCTTTTCTCTGCTATCCTGGCATTAATCCTGAGAAACAGACACTGGAAAATATGATTAAGAGCCACTCTCCAGATGAGGAAACTGATGTCCAAGGTCATTCAACCCAAAGGGCCAAAGCTGGAGTTCTAATCCTGAACTTTTTTGTTGTTGCTGTTTTACTCTACCATTCTGTTTTTAAGCAAATAAAAATTTCAGAACTCTGGATATGTCCACTTTACCAGGAAGGTGCACAAAATATCCCATCAGTGAGACAATCTGAAAGGAAGCTGGGGTGGTGTATTCTGTTGCCACCTTTGTCTTGGTGAGGACAGGGCAGCTGTCGGTAGACCTTACAGACCCTCTGACATCCCACAACCACCAAGAGGCCCACACTTGTCCCTTGGGGACCTGAGCAATGACCACGAAGAGAAAACCTGGCTTGAAAGACATAAAGACCGCACAAGCCAGAAAACTCCCAAATCTATGCCCCTCAGAACAAAGCCAGAGCATAAAGTTCAAGCTATAGGTGAAGGAGTGAGTTTAGCCATAAGAGTGACAGTCATGGCAATGCCCAGCGTTTCCTGAGTGCCCACCTAGAACAGCACCATAATTTAAGTCTGCACTGAGGCTTTGGGTTTCAGCCTATTTAAAGCTTGAGGCTGCACTAAGACTTCTGGGACACACTTATATCTAACTCTAGACCTAGTGTCACTTTAAAGAGAAGAAAGCAAGAGGCTTGCAGGTGGCACAGCCAAGATACACAGCCTGTTTGACCTTCATAGTGACACTAACGACAACTAACATTTAAATAGCACTTTTATGTATTACATGGCACTATTTAGGTGCTTCATGCTTATGAACACAATTCTCTCACCAACCCAGTGAGAAAGGTGTTATGAACACTCCTATTCCAAAAATTGGGAACTGAAGAACAGAGAGGTGTAGCAACTTGCCCATGGCCACAGAGCTCATAAGTGACAGCACTGGGGTTTGAGGCAGATCCAGAATCCATGCTTTTATCCCTTTGCTATGCCTCCTCTTTGTGGTGGAAAGGCCATACCATTTCTACCAGGCACTTTTTGATTGAAAAAGGAAAGTGCAAACATGGAATTGTGACAGAGTCCAAGGGGAGGAAGTTCCTTCTACCTCAGACACTCAGCTGAGGGCCAGGAGGGACCATTCATTCCCAGCTCAGCACTGTCCAAACTGCTCTGGGCTACAGGGTCCTTGGCAGGCAGCTCCAGCCTCCACTCAGCTCTGAAATGGACAGGCAGTGTCGAGCCATCTCCCACCTTGAGAGGATTCTCTGTCACACTTGAAAATGCTACCAGGCTTCCCTACAGACTCTTCCAGCACCAGGGGATAGCCGGCAGTCTCAGGCCGCCTTGAGCGTATAGCAAGCCCTGAAGATATTAGAGTATTTACATGGGGGGGCGGGGGTGTCAGGGATTCCTGTGGGTGACAGAACACCTACCAAAGAGAAAGGAGTAGAGGCACAGGGGCATCAGGGACCCTGTTGCCTGGCATCTCTCTATTCTTCACTTTTGCTGCTGCCAGCCACAAGCAGGAGGGACCTAAGGTCCCATCTGCAGCCTGAGTTTCATTAATAAGCTGGAAGAAGGTGAAACCTGTGTTCAAATCCTAACTCTGCCATAGATCAGCTGGGCAATCTCATGCAAGTTACTTGACCTCTCTGAGCCTCACAGGCTATCTGTTCAATGAGGCTAGTAATAATAGTGCCTACCTTGCTAGGCTGCTGTGAGAACTAAATGGGATTTAATGATACACTGATCATTCCACCCACTCTCCCTCTTCCAGCATCTGCTGGTTCCTGGCTGCCTCCAAGATAAAAGTCAAGATTGGGGGATTCAAGACCCTCCCCATCTGACCCCCAACTCCTCTCTCCTTCATGCCCTGGAGATGTACCCCATCTGTGCTCCAGTCAGGGGCCTATCCCACCATCACAAAATGAGTTTCCCAAGCACATTCCCGCCAGGGGCCATTGATCACACTACTCCTAACACTGACCCCTCATGTCGGGCTCCAGGTCTGAGGTGGGAGCCCCCTGCTGGAGGACAGCAACCCCTGCCTGGAGCACCTCTGAGCTACCAGTTCCCAGGCAGAGCGAACATTTGAGAGAGACTCAGGGATTCCAGGTGGGTTCTTCTTGGGGTGGGGTGGGGGGGACAAAGCGGGTAATCACCAAGAGAGGGAAAGTGGCTTTTGTGAAAAGCTGCTGTGCTCCAGCTCCTGACTTCCTTGGCTCCTTCCAGAAAAATGGAGAGCAACTTCTAGAATGTGGTTGCCTTCTCACCCTTGCCCTGAAGGAGCAGCCCCGATGAGCTTGGATGTACCACCCAAATCCACTCCCTGGCAGTAATGGCCACCAATTTTTCCAAAGGGTCTTCCGCGCGGAGCAATGAGGAGGATGTGGTCCGTGTCACCTGGGCTTGTAGCAGGGCTGCGGGAGACCATGGGTAGTGGTCTTGACGCTTCCCACACCCAACCCCTGGTGATGCTGAACCTGGGGCTCGCCCGCAAGTGAAGCAGTGTGGGTCAGCCCGGCTTGGGCTCAAAACCCTGGCTCTCGCCTTGACTCGTTGGTGCTCCTGGGCACAACTTTCCCTCTCTGAGCCTCAGTTTCCTTTTCTGTGAAATGGGTATAATAACACCTGGTTCATCAAACGACAGGGAGAATTGAAAGATCATGGATGCTCAGCACCTGACACTAACAACGCAGTCAACGGATGGACTTGGACTACAGTTAGCATTCAACTCCAAGCCGAGTCCGGGGCAGCTCTGGGAGAGCTGGAGACTCGCCCTGTTCGCGTCGGAGCTCAGGGGCAGCGGCGCTGGGCGTGCACCCTGGCCAACCCGGGGGAAATCCACAGGTGTCTGCGCATCGGGGCGCTGAAGCCAGAGCTGAGTATCTGGGAGGGTGCCATGGAGCGAGCCGCGCCACGGGACCCTACCCAAGCCGCCCACGTCCCAAGGTCCCCCACGCGCGTCTACCCCACACCGGTCGGCTCCGGGGGTCTCTTTTGCTCCGCGGGGATGCCCAGACCCAAGCCTATCCGGCGCATAGCCTCACCCCCCCCAGCTGCAGTCCCGCTCGCGCCCCTGCCAGCGCCCTGCCCGCGCCCGGCCTCGACTCACCGGCGCAGGCTCCAGGGAAAGTTTGGTGGCGTGGCAGCCGCGGCGGCCAGGCTGCTCGGTGCTCGGCTGCTGCGGCTACCGGGACGCCGAAGGAGCGGACTAGAGAGGCGGGGCGCCGGGGGAGGAGCCGCGCCGGAGGGGGCCAGCCGGGGAGGGAGGCGGAGACCCAGGCCCCATCCGCTTGCTGCACCCGGGCCTCCCTGTTGGCGCTCCTAGGGCCGCCCCACGCCGGGAGGGGGCGCCAGGAGGGCGCCTCGGGCACGGACACTTTCTCACACAGCCTGCCCCAGGGTCGGAGCTGCTCCCGCCGAGCACCCCAGCCTCGGGCTCTGCAGGGTGGGGCGGCTCCTTGGGTTTGGAGAGAGGCGAAAGGAGGGTAAGAACCTTGGTGAGTACAGAAGTAGATAAGTCAAGATAAAGAAGTGGAGGTAGAAATACTCAGAAATGAGATGATGTTGGGCAAAGCCAACCACACACCGGCTGATAGAGATACCTCCCCTCCCCCTATCCCTGCTAGAGAGGCCAAAACAGAAAAAGACAGACAGCCAAGGCCAGGCCGACACAGAAAGAATAAGATTGACAGACAGGGACCTTCCTCTAGAGCAGGGTTTCTCAACCTGTGGGTCACGACCCCTTTGGGGGTCCAACAACCCTTTCACAGGGGTCGCCTAAGACCACTGGAAAACAAAAAGCTATTTACATTACGATTCATAACTAGCAAAATTACAGTTATAGAGTAGCGACGAAAATAATTTTGTGGTTGGGGGTCACCACAACATGAGGAACTGTGGCATTAGGAAGGTTGAGAACCGCTGCTCTAGAGGTTTCATGGGGGAACCAGAGACCCCCCCCCAAGCTCTAGAACGCCACACCCCTCATCTTTTTCTCCCTAGCCCCTCCCAGATGAGCCAAGTTTCAAAACACGTGTTTCAATTAGCATCCTGTGCCAGACCTGAGCAGAAGGTGGGACGGTGGGGGTTGAAAGGGTGAGGGCGGTGTGGTCCTAGGGGCCTCTGCCCTCTGACTCTGGGAGGTTGAGAATTCTTCTCGCTGCCTTCATTTCCAGAGCTGGGAGAGGCAGTTTTCTCTCTCCCCTCAGTGCCAGGAAACCTCCACTTGACCCGCTAAACAGTTATGGCTTCAGATCTTATCTCAGCACTTCCGAAGAGACACCCAAGTTCAGAGGAAGAGGAGGGTGTTTGAGAAAGAGGGCTCGGGGTGTGGGGTCTAAGGTGTGGGTTTGAGGCCTCATGGGTCTATTTTAGCCTCTACTGAGTAGAGGGTAATTCCACTCTGTGGTTGTGAGATCACACAGAGCTGGTTTGAGAAACAGCTTCACAAGGTGTGCATGGTGTGTGGGTGATCCTTCTTTCTGCCCTCAGGGTCCACATCTATAAAATGAGGGTTCATAAAAACAGATGTCATTGTGCCCTGCATTCTTCTCAGTGTTACAGGTGCTTACTCATTTAATCCTCACAACAGCCCGAAGTAGGAACTGTTACTATCCCTATTTTACAAAGGAGAAAACAGGTACAGATGGTTGAGGAACTTGCTCAAGGTCACACGGGATTGATGATAAATAGATATAGATAGAGATAGAGATAGAGATGGAGATAGATATAAATATAGATAGAGATATATACTGGGAATCCACCCCCTGCAGCCTGGCTACAAGGTCCAAGGTCATCATTACTGAGCTATAATCTTCATCTCACTGGGACTCCTGGAAAGTTCTTTGAGCTCATTTATGTAAAAGGCTTTGCAAGTGCTCCATTAACAGTAGCTCATCACCACTGAGCCTGTCTGCAAGGTGGGGATTAAAGGGCTGATGGTGATCCAGAGATAGGAGACTTTGGATTCAGGTTAGCTGACAAGCTATGTTACTGTCCTGGGTACCAGCTCTGACCTTTATGAATCAGAGGGGTAAGGGACTCCCATTTGTTCCTCTGACCAGCCCCTGTGCATTAGCATAAGCCCACAACCAGGACTTGCCCTGAATCTACAGTAAGCCCCCTCCCATCCCCTGCTGATTCTCCAGGGCCTCCATATTTTACACTTTACCAGGCTAACGCACCTCTTGGAACTGAGCACTGGGGAAGCAACTGTTATACACTCTAAGGGAAACACATTTCTGCTCTTTACAGCTGTGGGGGCTGAGGAGGGAAGACGCCTTGGAAGTCGCTGAGACCACTTCCATCCCCTCTCACTCCTTTCTGCAATTCAGCAAAGGGCTTGATTATTTGGAATTTGTCTCCAAAGTTTCACTTCCTGGGCTGGTTTTAGGCCTGCCCAGTCCACAGTGATCAGCATTTTTAGAAACATAAGCATTTTAAAACAGCATGTCAGACATTATTTGAAACCCGTGGTGACTAGGGTATATATGTTTTGCTGTGGCATTTGGAACTGATGTATCATGAGATAACACAGGCCATATCCTGGGTGTACAGGGTGTGGAGGGGTTAGCCAACTTACTAACAATATACAGGCAGCAGAAGAAAAATAATAGCTAGCCTTTATGTCATACTTCTGTGTGCCAGGGTCAGTTCTAAGAGCATCACATAATCAAATACATCTGTTCCTCACAACTATGAGGTAAATACTATTATCCTATTTTGCAGATGAGAAAGCTGAGGTACAAATTAGTGAAGACAATTGCTCAGCATATACAGTTAGCACGTAAGTCAGTTAGGAGGCAGCTGAGCCAGGTCTGGAACCTGAATCAGCCTGGCTCCACAAGCCTGTTCCTACTTTTGTATTTTGTAAAAGAAAGCTAGAAAAGGGGAACCATTTGAGCTCCTGAATAGAGATTAGAGGTACAGATCGAAAAGATATCTGCTCTGCAACTTGTTAGCTCTGTGCTTCCTTTGCTTTTCTGAGCCTCAGTTTCTTCATCTGTAAAATGAACATAGTAATGTGTATGTTACATCTAGGATTTCCATGATGATTCTTTTGGTTGCAGGTAATATAAACCCAACTATAACCAGCTTCAGCCCAAAAGGGTTCTGAACTGAAAACTTTAGGAGGTAGTTTTGGATTCAGACATAGTCCATGCCAGAAGCTTGAAGGAAGTTGTCATAAATCTGTGTCCCTCTGTCTCTTGACTCTGTTTTCCTTTGTGTCCATTTTATTAGCTGGATGGGTCTTTCCACAGAAAAGCAGAAATGGCCAGTTAAGCCACCTCAAGACAAAGAGATCAATTCCTTCCCAACACTTCCAGCAAATCAGAGGGTTTCCTCCCATTGGCCTGGCGTGGGTTACATGCTTGGCTCTGACACCATCGTAGTTGCTCTGATTGGCCAAGCCTGAGTCACATGGCTATGGTTAGAGTCAGGGGGTAGGGTCAGCCCCTCCTAAATCACAGAACTAAGAGTGGGTGAGGGATGGTCTCCTAAAAGTTAATCAAGGTGCTATTAGAATAATGGAGCATTGGTGCTGGAGAAGCACAGATGTCCACTTCCTCACAGAGCCATTGTTAGGAATAAATACATTTGTGTGTGCAGAGTGCTTGGTTCTAGTGGGTGCTCAAGAACTGAGACCCCTCCCTTCTTTTCTCTCCCCTAGGAAACAGGATTCATGGCTCACCAAATCCAGGCCAACTTCTTCCTGTTTACATGGGGAAACTAAGAAGGCCCAGAGAGAGGAAGGGACTTGCCTAAGGTGACCCAGCTAACCAGCCACAGAACCCATGTCCTCTGACCTGAACCAAATCGCAGTTCAAGTCTTAGCTGAGAAAATGTAGATCTCCCACTTACCAAAGGAGCTTTCTTTGCATTTGCACAGGGGAAACGAGAAAATTGCAAAGTCCTTAAGACCCAGAGGAAATGAATGCCACTTATGGTGGGTTCCCAAACTGTGCAACAAGCTATGGATTGGTAGATCTGGGCAGAGTGCCCAGTCAAGCTCCCCACCCATCACATTATGAATTCAGCCATTTCCTCTGGGGACTCTGCACTCTGGGTGCGGAGAGGTCCAAGTGGTCATTTTTCATATAGCTGCCCAAAGTAGGCAAGATGGCCCTTTCTGTTTGATTTCCTACCTGGTTTGTGAGTGCAGATGTCCATCTTTCAGGGCCAAAGTGGGCCAAGTAGCAAGCATGTTCTTTAGAGTTATCAAAATTGACCGTTTCTACTTGGTCCTGAGCCAGTTCCAGCGTTTCTGGCTTTGGGCAGTTAGTCTGACTTCTCCTCTCTAAATTCCGTTGGTCTGGCATGCTGTAAAGCCTGTCTACTTAAAGGAAAGTGTGCAAGAATGGCAGATGACAAGCTGGAACGACAAGACCTACTCCTTCCATCTCCCCCTTAAATACAGCGCTTAGGTTTGGTGTGCACACAGCTGGGGGAAGTGTAAACTGCTACAGCCTTCTTGGAGGACAGTTTGGAACCAGGTGTTGAGAATTTAAAAAATGTTCAGTCTGTTACTTCATACGCTAAGAGTTTTTCCTGAGAAAATAATCCTATCAACAAGATAACGCATAAAGATGTTCATTGCAGGATTGCGTATAATAATAAAGATTGGAAATAACCCAAATGTTTAACTATACAGGATTGGTTAAATAAGTTATTGTACATCAGTAGAATGGACTATTATACAGCTGTGAAGATCATACTAGAGAATATGGAATTATGTGAAAACTAGTTACGATATGAACAAGTTATAAGAGCAAGTTATAAAAGAAAAGGTACGCATAAACTCATTTTGTGAAAATATATACCTGTTTATGTATACGAAAGCCTCAGGTAGTTGTATCAGGGATAGGTAGGAAGGAGAGGGAAATTTGTAGGTGCTTTTGGTTCTCACTTCTCTGTATTTTCTAACATTTCTTTAGTGAATTTGTATTGCTTTGGTAGTTAGGAAAAATGCCCAATAATTGTCATAAAAGGATTTGTGTTTGATTTCCTCTTAGAAAAGCACTTTCATTTATTAAAAGACCACAACCAGAAGTAAGATGAATTTGACCAACTCCCTCTCTCTCTGGCTAGGATGTGTGGGGAGGAGCGGGGAGATTATGCCTGGGAGCAGTAGCAACAGCCACAGAGCAGTGTGCAGCACAAGAAGCTTGCACCAGTAGCCATACCTGTTTGCTGTGCAGCCCTG